ACTTGTATCATAGTTTAACAGATTGTTCATTGTAACTTCCTTGTAAATCTACAAAAAAGATACACACTTACTTTTGAGTATAGATGCGGAGGTAATTAATAAAGCTTCAACTAAACTAACCTCAAGGAATTTGTCAGATGTGACTCTCTTCTTGTCTCTCTTGCGACAAAAGTGAGCAGACAAAGCATTTTTTAAGTTTCTTGCCAAAGGGATCACCACAAAGACAACATAGAACGAAGGAACTCCAGCGGACACAGATATAATTAAGCTCGATGTTCATCAGGAAAGGCATTGCAAGAAAGATGACAATTAGCATTCCTATAATGACTTCAATGACAGCTCTTAAGGCTCTCTTTGTGAGCAATTTCTTTTGTTCATTCGTTGATTATGTTCTTTGTTCCTGTAACTGCAGTTATCGTGGCTTGTTTTTCAGATCTTTTTGTTGTTGTTGTTCTTAGAATTGGAGTCTTTCTTGCGTTTTCGCAGTTGGAAAAGATTTGTTTAGATCTGTGCGATATTCTGCTTGATTATGTGATTATTGGTTGAGTTTAGGGTTTCTCATTTTTGGGTGGTGAACTTTAGGGTTAGGGTGAAAACATACGTATCAGTAGAACTATTGATTTGGTTCTGATTCATATTCTTGTGATATATAAACTAATAGATGTAAAAGCAACATTCATTTCTAAATTGTAATTTTGAAGTAAGCTTTATCTGAAAAGTTTTGAGATGCTTATATATTTGAGAATGCAAACTTGTATCATGGTACTTTCCTTATTTAGTGTGTCAAGAGGGAAGTTCTGAAGCATTTTTGATTGGTATTCATAACATCAAAGAATGGTATTCATATATATCTTGATGTTTTACACCAAAGAGCTTATAAACATACAACACAGATGGAACTTCCAAAATGGGAAAACTGGGAAATCTTAGGAAAAAAACAACTCTTGGAAACATCCACTGACTATTTGTTAGAGGTGAAATTTCCGTTCTTGCCTTGAGACTTGAAATGGACGACATAGATT